CGCCGTGTTTACGGAGATTTTTTTAGAAATGACATCGTATTGGGTTAGGCCGCGTATTCGTGTGGAAAGGGCCTTAGCTTCCATAGAGGAGGCTGAGGGGTGGAAGTGTGAGCATGGCGGTTGGCTAGAGGGGTGGAGGTGACGGGTTGTGGAACCTTTATAGTATTTGGCCAGGACTTAACGGTGGGAGGGGATTCTCCTCCTCCTGGAATACCATTTGACCTCTGTGTGTATGTTTGAGGGGGGTTGGGGGGGGTTGACTGGGTGTGTCTGTGAGTGTGTGTGTTCAGTATGTGAGCTATTCCTGACACCGGGGATAGACTTAACAACGTGTGTGCGTGCTTTGTCTAGCCTCATTAGGAAGCGTGTGTGCATGTTGTGGCAATGACTAGGGTGGGGAGAGGGGGGGTCGGTAGTAGGTTTGTTTGGGTGGCGGGGGGATTTCCAGCCAGTTGAGCCTTAGTGTGACCTCCCGTGAGATGCTGCGATTGGCCGGGAACAGAAGCACCGATGGTACACACTGTGTTCCGCCGGCCGATCAATGCTTGAGCAAACACTCGGCTCCAAAATAAGCTCCCTGTCATCTGAGACTGCTCCTGAAGGAGCCCCTCATTACTGAACATTAGCGTTGTCATTAGCTCTCACAGGGGCTTTGCTGCAGAAATGTGGGATTTTAGGATTAAACCATCAGTGCTTTTGAAGGATATTGCTGATTGACAGCTGAAAAGTGGTTTTCCAATGAGACAGCTCCGCCACTCACTAAATATATCCTCAATTTGCACAAAATGCACATGGATATTGTTCAATTGCACAAGAACTTTGCTGCATAATCCTTCATTAAGAATCCTGTGATCACTTTTAGAGACACGGCAGTACTGGAACATACAGACACATTAAATGAAAAACCTGAAAGAATCAAACAGGTGAGCTCTGACAGGAGCCGGTCATGATTTTGGATCAAGGTGGCAAGAGAAAAAGATCTAAGTGACAGTGAAAGAAAGCTCATGGGACACCCACAGCTCACTGATGAATCTGAAAACGGTGTGAATCATATACTGTGGCTCTCACAGTCACAGATCTCAACCTGACTGAACACCTATAGAGAGATTTTGGGATGACGTGTTAAGCCAAGGTCCACACGCAGACACAAGATTTACTATAAATAGAGCTGTGTGTGTATTTGCTGTCTGTTATGAAGTATACCAGAGCCCTAAAGGTCCACTGTGTAACATTTGTGAGGATCTTTTGTCAGAAATGGAATATAATATTCATAGGTATGTTTTTGTAGCAGCATACAGGTGCT